CTTTAAGGTTTCAAATTTGGTGATGTACTAACCACTGCTTTGAATGAATTTTTCAAATTTCCTGGTTTAATTCATATACACACAACACACACAACACACACCCACACAACACACACAACACACACAAGGTCACCTAAACATCCTTAACCCGTTATTATAAGTAATGATAGCTTATCTCTGTCATGGAGCGCGCCACATTCTGCGGCAATTTAGCCTAAGCGAAGGAAGGGGAATAAAATCCTCCTTGCGTTTGATGTTAAAATGATGCAATTCATCCACGATACGTGTTTGTGGCAATTCATTTATGATACTTCCTCCTCGGTCGTCGCTCTGCAGCAACACTTTCAGAAAAATTCATAAAATTCACCATTTGAATCATATATCATATTTGAATCATTTTATATATAAAGCTGAATGTGTGTCTGTATGTGTGTACATCTGTATGTCTGTCTGTACGTATGTGCGGAGTAGATATTTTTATTTCTGAACCGATTTGGACCAAACTTGGCACACATACACTTCGGGGCAGGGAGCGTGTCATAGGCTACTTTTCGTTATCGATCCATATCGATTTTATCGATTTTTATCAATTTTTTTTGTAAAGTTCACCTAAGGGGCTGGGAGTTAACACAGGGGGGAAGTGAGCCTGGCGATTCCGAATACAGCATTAGGTTTCAGAATTGTCAATTACTTTTGTCGATTTTATCGATTTTAAAGGTTTGAGCTATAGGGCTGGGAGTTGGCACAGGGGTAATCGAGCATGCTGATTGCGAATACATTATTAGTTTTTGGTATTACCTATTACTTTCATCCATTTTTTCAAAATTTGAGCTGAAGGGCTGGGAGTTGGCACAGGGGGGTGAGTGGGCCTGCTGATTTCGAAAACAACACAAAGAAAGGGAAGTGAAGTGTATAAGTGGACACAGGGAAAGGCTGTACAGGGATAGGGATGGGACCTTACAGTGTTTTGACAGGGCCGAGCGGAGCAGGGTAAGCAAGCTAGTATATAATATGCGCACCATGCTTTCCCAACAGAACTTTTTAATCTATTAGGTTGGAAACTAAGTTTTGCAACTGGTCCCATAACTTCCCTCTCACTCAACATGGCGCACTCGAATTTTGCCACTGCACTGGTTTTCACGTACGCTACAAGCGCAGTTGCTGTCCTACCATATTCTGACGTCGCAGTGAGGGTTACGGTAGGTGCATAGTATTAGGTTGTCCGGAAATTAATGCCCGTTTTAAATTCCAACCGCGCTAAGTCGTATACTTCTCATCTCTAAATGGGTTGCAAAGTAACATTCGATAGAGCAAAGCAAGCTCTACAAGATGGCCGTCTTGCTTTTGCAACAGCTTTGATCCATCTCGAGTTTCGAGCCAAAAACTAAAAAGACTCACCAGTCCGAAAAATCGAAAAAAATCGTAACTCAGTTCATAAAAATCCTACAAAAATTCTAATTTGCTCGCGTAAACACTATCCACATAAGACATCAATATACGCCGTTGCCGTATTTTTTTCTCTGTTAGAAACCAAGAAAACGGAAATTTTCGTGCATTTGCCAAAGTGATGCTGTGCCGTCCCCACATAGGTAGTTGTATACCACAAGCCTGAAAAAGTACAGACTTAAATTTTCAGCTCTCTACAAGCTTTAGTTCTCGAGAAATTTGAATTTTAGCTTGGACCACCTAAGTAAGGAAAGCTATATTCGGTATTTCTCGAGAACTAAAGCTTGTAGAGAGCTGGAAATTCAAGTCTGTACTTCTACAGACTTGTGGTATACAACTACCTATGTGGGGACGGCACAGCATCACTTTGGCAAATGCACGAAAATTTCCGTTTCCTTGGTTTCTAACAGAGAAAAAAATACGGCAACGGCGTATATTGATGTCTTATGTGGATAGTGTTTACGCGAGCAAATTAGAATTTTTGTAGAATTTTTATGAAATGAGTTACGATTTTTTTCGATTTTTCGGGCTGCTGAGTCTTTTTAGTTTTTGGCTGGAAACTCGAGATGGATCAGAGATGTTGCAAAAGCAAGATGGCCATCTTGTAGAGCTTGCTTTGCTCTATCGAATGGCACTTTGCTATCTATTTAGAAGTGAAGAGTGTATGACTTATTGCTGTTGAAATTCAAAACGGGCATTAATTTCCGGACAACCTAATATAAAGGGGAAAATTTCAAAGTTTGACGGATTTGGCTGAAACTTGGCATAGGGGTGTTATCCGACAAGCTGATGACGGAAATCATAGTGAAATTGCGTGATAAGGGCTTTTTTGTAGGATTACTGTAGGTGCACGATATGGGGTCTCACCCAAAACAAGTAAAAATGCGTTGATTCAACAAATGAATGTGATATTCGCGTTTGACAGGTCAAATAACCTTACTATGTAAAGTTTCGACGGAATTTGAGCTTCGGACTCTTTAGTCATTGACGGTCGTCCCCAGCAGCTCTTGCGAACATCGACTCGTTCGACTTTACGAAGGCGCCAAATCAGACATGCCCCTAAATTTTGTTTCTTTCTTACTAGGCCAAAGAAGTCAATCACTTGCAATAATCTGTAGAAGAATCCGGATTACTGCGCATGGTCCAGGCTGCCAAAGGCTTCAATTTAACTTGAAACCCCAAAAATTCTCAAATTTCACTAGTTTTTGATAAACGCCTGAAACATTTCTATTTCGTCTTCAAAATTTAGACAATTTGTGCTCCCTTGTAGCTCACATTGCTTTCTACATAATGCCAAAGTTTGAATGCGCCATATCCAAAGAGAGTGAAGTTATGAAACCAGTTGCAAAACTTAGTTTCCAGCCTAATAAATATTACTAGACGAATTTTGTGAGCTTCTGGGGCACTGGAAAAATGTTTTAACCGATTGGTGACCCAGTATGACATTCTCACACATGATAAGCAATGGGCCGTTAGTACTCAGATAATCGGCGGGGGCAGGCGGTCCGCAAACTCGCGGTCGGCAAAATTCTGGGGCGTGGCCAAACCTTCAGCGAGCGGCACTTCGCTGTTCTGCAAGCGGGCAGCAATACAAAGTTCTCTACGAGCGCTCGTCAAATAATCTCTTTCAGCGAGCGCTGGCCAGACTTTCAACAGCGCTCAGACTCTTACGCAGTTTCGGGAGTAAGCCGAGCTAAGGCGAAACTCTATGTGGCAGAGGTGTCATGGATGGTTTAATTACCCGAGTTTGCGGAACTTTCTCTTAGCGAAATGTTCCTACGGGCTGTGCGGTCCTCCACAAAGGACCGCGCGGCCCTCAATAATTTTGCTTACTCTCGCGGAAAGTCCCCGAGAATGCGCCGTAACTAAACTATAGAAAATCCGAGTCTGTTCTCCGGGCACTCGTCTAAAAATTGGTCAACATTCTTTTTCCGCAAGCGGACCGCAAGAAATCAGCGAACTATTTCTTCGGTGCCCGCTTTCCCAACATCGCATGGCCGCCTGCCCCCAGCGATTACCTGAGTAGATGACGAAAATCATGACTTAAACAATTTTCCGTATGGAGGCGTAACTTCTTCCGATCAAGGGCTTGCTTGTCTTGGAACACCTACCTTCAATATATTTCATAACTACTTGTGCCATGTATAATGACTTTTGATCACAACGGCGAACTGAATATAAATGCGATGTGTAATTGCTCGCCTTAGAGGGTACGGGTGGGAGTCTATTAGGGCCATAAGTAACTACTAAAGAAATCTGCTTAGAACATGCATTGGGAAAAGCAGAAATTTCCCTATAATCTCTCCTTCCTGATCCCGGAAGACGTGAAGTAGATTTCATATTTGCTATCATCACGTTTCGCTAAGAATGGAGGTATTTCCTTGCTTGACGAACATTAGGCGGTGCGGTTGTTCCTAGGAACATAGGCGGAAGACAGTACTTGTTTCCCTTGAGTTCAAATTTCAATTTCAGTCCAGCGCCAGGCTTAGACCGTGTTTCACTTAGAGCCACAAAATGTCAGTTACCCTATAACATTGTAGAGATTATGGCATGTTATAGCATTTTCTAATCTCCTATGTCAAGCGATACAGAAAACAGGGCCCGGCACGCGTTGGTTTGGAGCATTTTTGGAAACGAATTCCCTCAAAAAAAATCAAGTAGAAAAATTAGTAGGGAAACCCTAATTCAGTCAAAATAACAATAAAAAAGCGAAAAAAGCGCATTTTGAGGTACCTAATATAATAGAAAAAGCAAAAAAAACATTCTGAGTTGATTAACGGCATCGTCATTGGGTAGGGTACATACATATTTTAGTGCTCAGAATGCTGAAAACCTGCTAGGCCAACCAAATCTGTGGCCTCAACAACCTGGCGATGCATTTTTCGCCACATAGTTCAAAGACACCGCATGTGATTGGAGCGCAATATCTATCAACGCCTAGATTTACTCTATTTTTAGCTCAAAAAAGAGGAGAGGCAATGGTTTGATTCGCTTTCTTCACTATATGATAGATTTTTGACCGTTCTAATCGTCCAAATCAAAAACAAAAACAGCCAAAACTTATGTGAACTCCCCGATATTTATGCTCCGGACCAACCCAGTTGGTTGGGTGTTGGTCTAGAAACCAACAAATTCGGGAACGGATATTAGGACACATAAGTTTTTGAAACTTTTTACATAACATAGTTTGGAGTAATATTCTATACACATAGCCCAAACTCGGAGCCATGTGATCGTTTGTGCGCTGTAAACAAGTCATTTGTTTGTTTGAGTCTTGCGTTTGAAATTCGCGCGCTTGCGAAAGAACACGTTCAACCGTAAAACTGACATGTTCGTGTTTTTCATTGGCGCTTATCTCAGGACCTTATAAAAACCAAATCCCAGTTGCTTCTAACTTCAAAAACGAAGTCCAGTTTGACTCCAGACATCTGTGCCGGGCCCTGACAGAAAAGCCAACCTGAACATAGAGGTTTAACAAGGTCAAATTAAATATTTACAGCGACATGCCTTTACAGCGATATGATCTCTGATGCATACTAATGAAAACTTTTCAGGCAATTATAAATGATTGCGCAGGTCAAAGCATCGGCGCCTACACTGAAGACTTTGGAGTCAGGGTGATCCGAAAGCATATTGCTGATTATATCACAGTGAGTTCATTTTTTTTTGAGAGCGGTGGTGCGAACAAAATCAGTCGTCTTTGCTTTGTTTCCCTTAACGTGAAGGAAGCCGCAGGCTAGGTACAGTCTGATTGAAAGTCAATATTAGGCTGTCCGGAAAATAATGCAGGTTTCGCAAACTCTCACTCCAAAGTGTCATAACCCGTTAAAATTGCATTTTTTAAAATGAAGTAAAAGCCACCATGATCAACAAGTCTCTGTCTATCTGACGTATCTATGTTTAGTCGTACCTGTAGCTGTAAAAGCAAATTACTGGAAAGTAGAAAGTAAGAAGAGTTTGAGGTTCTTTTTTGAGCATTGAGCCAATTGGTAGTAACCTTTATTTTGGACTAACGTTTTGTTTCTGCAGGCTGACAAGGTGTTTGAGCGGATAAGTCGCAATGTTTCTGACCTTTTCAGGCTCTGAAGAAGGCGACGCCGCCGAAACGCTAGCCCAAAATAAAGTTACCCAATCTTCTCTCAAGGCTCAAAAACAACCTCAAAGTTATACGCGGTGCCAAGATCAGTGACAATCGGACATGGAATGCCATAAGACGAAATGTAAATCTTATCGAACATGGGTGTTCGAAAAACTTCAGCACTTATAGCCAGCCAAACTAGTGCTATATATATAAGTATGCAGAATTTTTTTGAGAATTTTCCGCAAAACAAAAACTGCGGAATTAATTGCTTCGATATTTTCTCTACTGCTGATATCTCCGAAAATTTTGAACTTTCTATCTACTTGCCTAAAATAAAGCCTGGGAGGTAGTCGAGATAGTACCTGACCACACTGGCCTCACTCTTCGAGCATGGGAGTAGACTCTCATGGTTGCTTTCCTTCGAAAAGTTTTTCACGCTGTGGAGTGGCCGCGACAGTTAGTCATGTTGGAGCCTCAATTCCTCTGCTCTCACATTTGTTGAAAGGAGGCGCTACTGTTCACTTTGTAGGTTCGCTCAACATCTTGCTTCAGCTTTATTATCATAAAAACCAGTGCGTCACTTCTGCTTCGCAGAGGCTCGCACTGGTCCTGCTCTATAGTTTTTGAGCAACATCTTCTCTTAAGGAAGGCAAAGTGTGGCACGCCCACAGCAGGTACTGGCTCTATGCACCCCATGAATATCGTGCCGTGCGGGTCTGCGTGTCCATGCTTGTCTTCAGAGCTAAACAGCGCCCTGCCTTATCTCTCAAACTGCTTTGAACCTAAATTCTAATCGTGAAGAATATGATGTAAAAACCATTCATTCTGCGAGGTTTTCATGTGAAACCGGTAAAACTAGCGTGGCGATACTTTTTGGTGAACGGTTAGTGTAATTTTGATTCCGTTTTATCAATGCGATGTTGGCTAATTAGAACAACAACAGATGCACACTACATTTCCAGCCTCGAATATTTCCAGCTATACAGTGAGTTCTTTGAAAATCAACAATCAATTAAGTCATTTTTTTGACGCCACTTTTGCACGAAATTAACTTTTTGTTATGTATCTGTGCTGAATTCCAGTGCTTGGAAGATGTCCAAGTTAAAAGTCTTACAGTTATTGCAGACTCCTTGCATTAGGATCTCGTTTGCTTCAGCAAATGCTTGGTGGATCCATTTGACTCGCGATTTTCAGCGACCGAAACAGATCCGCTCACTTCTTTACATAATTAACCTGGGTGCTGCTGGCGTGCGCCAAAAACCAGCTCGAAATCTTGGCTGCAGCTTGCGCTACGAATTACACTGAATCGCAGAGGCTCGCTGTGGTCCTCCTCTGTACGCCTTACTCATTCATGCCTTATGAATTGAAACTCACCGGACGATGCCGAATATCACGATTAAAATGTAAATAACTACTCATGCTAAAAGCTTCTCCGTGTGAGAACGGTAATTTTGAGAGGATGAAATTTTTCGCAGAAGAACAAATGCAATTTTGAATAGGTTCTTGAACTTTTTTCTGGCTAGATAGTTGCTATAAGGACAATAACACCCTGAGCTACATCTCTGTGCAAAAATCTTTTCAAATGCTTGAGTAAAACCTTGGCAAATCGACCATCGAGCAATCAATATTTTTCGGCGTCGTTTTTGTGAAGTAGTAGACTTTTGATCCTCTTTTGCACCAAAGCCCATGGCTTGCACATTGAGATGCCAAGCACATCCACAACTTTGCAAAAAGTGGTGATACGGATTCGATTATGCGGGCCAAAAGCCAATTGAACCCGGCTGACGCGCAATTTCTGAGGGATCCACCTAAGAAATCCGCTCGTGCTTTCGCATGGTGGACTTTTATGCTGGTAGCTTGCGCTATGCAAAATTTGGGCTCAGGACGTTGGCTGAAACTACTCATGCTATGAATTTCGTGACAGACAGATATTCAGACACACACACAAAAACACGCAAACAACCCTTAGCCCGTTATTATAAGTTATGATACCCTTCTTGCCGATTAAGTTCAAGTCAAAATAGTGCAAAGGGTAAATTTTGTGATCCAAAGCTTCATCTTCTAATGGTCATAGATTTGAACAAATGGAGTTGACCGTAAAAGTAAGAGCATATAAGAGAGAGCATGAAGAGCACTTTTCTATATGCGAAGTAGGTCGCAAGATGCACATAAACAGAAAACAATCTTTTTGAAATGCTTGCGAAAACCTGCATCAAATTCGGATATCCTAATTTGTCGGGTGCGCTGACAACATTAGCGCGAAAATTCCGTGCCTGTAGATCCGACAGCTTGCTTGCGACTAGCGCTTGTAATGGCTATATTGCGCATTGTCACTACTTACACGCAAGTGTTGCCTGCAGGCAGCGCAAGCACAGTTGACTGCAGATCAAGATGTATGTTCAACAATTCAATGTTTATGATTACAGTTGTAGACGGAAGCGATAAATTTCTGCGTCCAACAGATTTTATGTTTTGTAGTCAGCGCTCATTCTTACAGAAGCGAGATGGGGGAATCCCATCAAATCCGGAGAATGTAGCCCTTTCTACTGGTGCATCCGGTTCGATCAAACATGTCTTTGAGATGTTTGCAACTCATGCTGAAAAAAAGGTTGGAGTCATGATTCCCATTCCTCAGTTTCCGCTGTACTCAGCTACTATAGAAGAATTCGGTCTTGGCAAGGTATTCTTACTCCTATATTCATAAAGCTTTTTTAATTAGTGTCAAGATCAGGTTGAATATTACCTTGCCGAAGAAAAAAATTGGGGCCTTGATGTTGATGAATTGGAGCGAGCATATCAGGAAAATTCAGAGAAATATAACGTAAAAGTGCTTTGCGTGATAAATCCGGGAAATCCGAGTGGCCAGGTGACGTGATTATTGCTTATTATCGGGGTGATTCAAAAATTAATGAGACACCTTGATTTATTTTCAACTCTGATTGTTTCTTTCTGACCGACGACAGAAAACCAGCAATGTTGACGCTTCCGTATGAAGTGACCATTGCATATCATCCTAGCAGCAGCTCGCAGTTTCCACAATCCTTCGAGCGGCGCTTCGAGAAAGTCAGCGCCAGATTTTTTGAACGCCATCTGAGTTTGCTCCACTGTGTCCCAAAATACGACATGTGACGTACAGTCGAGTAGATTTAGCGGTAAATATAGTGTGCTTGCACAGAAGGTGAAATGCGGTAAAATTGGCGCGTGAAGAAATAGCTTCGACTGTGACGCCGGCCAATTGCGCGCGCAAAATACCCGCAGTACTGGCGTGGCTATTTGTTCACGCGCAAATTTCACCGCATTTCACCTTCTGTGCAAGCACACTATATTTACCGCTAAATCTACTCGACTGTACCAATCGAAAGCACTTTCAAAGCTCGTTAGAAATCACTTACAAGGGATGTCAGGTAAACTCAGAATCGCATTTTGCGATGAGACACATATGTTTGAAATTAGCTTCGGACGCTGACTCTAAGTATGCTGTTCCTGGCTGCGACACGTCATTCTAAAGCACGTTATCAATTTTCTTTTATGCAAAATTTGCATACTCTTTGACCTACTGGCATTAGGTATCATCACCTACGTGCTAATTGATTGCATAAAGGCTCTTGTTAATTACAAAAAGCTTAATTTTAGTAATTTTAGTGATTTTAGTATTCTAGCACCATCTTAGGCGGAGTTCCATTTACAGGCAGCCTCACCATATGGAAAAGTATGGCATTTTTGCACAGAAAAAAGCTCAGAACTTCCTTCAGAATAATGCACCGCAGCTAAGAACATCACATTTGGAATGAGCGTTCGAAGCTAATTCCAAATATATGTGCCTCGTCTTGAAACGCAATTCTAAGTTACCTAACTCCCTGTTAAATGCACAAAAAATTCTCTATTTTGTATAAAAGAGGCAGTTCATTCGAAAAATGTGCTATTTGGGGCAGATTTTCAGGCTAAAAATCATACTTTAGTCCACAGTTTGAATAACATACGCATGGATGGAGCGTAAAAGACTCTATCAGATGTCAACCGTCAGGGTTGGGCTCATTTGATTATCTTGAAGAGAAGTGGATAATATGTCTTTCAAACTCAAAGCTATAACTTCTTATGCAAAGCGTTGGGACCACAGGCTAACTTGGATGCGACAGTCCCCCCACCCATTGCGGCTCAGTTAACACATTGATGACAATGCGGATTTTTGATTGTTTGCCACTTGGGATCAAGACCTTTCACGGACCATTCAGCACTTTTCAGATAAAATCACGCATGCTGGCATCTACACTATACGTACAGTAGCCGTGAAGGGCTGACAAAGATATTAAAAGTCATTACTAGTCACAGCAAAAGGAAACTTCTAGGATGAGTTTGTACTACAGTCTGCCCCAATCGGGATCAGGCCGAAACGACGGCTGAATTCGCACGCTCGCAGCGCTAGGGAATTTGCGCTGCATACGCGCGCTGTCGCAGAGAGGGAAGAGATTGAGGAGAGAGCAGACTGGCTAGCCGTAGACGTGACGCAATACTCTCGCTACACGGGTTCCGGCCATGCCAAATTTGGCCTGGTTAGGATTGGTGCAGACTTAGGATAGTCGACATCACAGGTGCGATAGTGTGAGAATTTTCTCACCCTCCCTTCATCCCTGAGCCGGGACCAAGATGACCCTTTTCACCAAAAGCCGAGAAAAATAATCAACAGTGAGGTAAGGTTAACACATTGACGACCGTTTGACACACATGGTGTGTCAAGGCTTGGCACACCATGTGTATCGTTGAAATGGCTACTATTTTGTGTTAAACCCACTCGAGTTTTCTTTTGTGCTCTGCAAAACGCCTTGGTCGTCTGTGTTAAGCAAAGAAGATATTTGTACGTGAATTGTTAACGTATAGGAAAGGAGAAGGTTGTTGAAAAAAGGGCTTGGTGACGAGTGTGAGTAATAATTTCTGGAGATTTTCGAGTTTTCAACATGAAAAAAAAAATTCATAACTTCTGTAGTTGAACATCTTGTACGCCTGATGGTCACTATTGGAGTCGTTCCGTCCTCCGCTTTCAGAAAATATATAGAACGTTTGGTATCCATTCAAGAAAGTGCAGTGAACGGTTTGCCTAGTGATTTTTGAGGAATTTCGATTTTTTGACATAAAAAAATTAATAACTTCTGCTGATGAAAATATTGTACGCCGATATGGTCGCCGTTGGAACCGTCTCATCCTCCGCCTGCAGAAAATATATAATATGCTTGGGGTCCGTGAAAAAAGTGCCTGGGTGAAGGATGTCCTAGTGATTTTTGGAGATTTTCGAGTTTTTAACATAAAAAAATTCATAACTTCTGTAGATGAACATCTTGCATGCCGAGATGGTCACCATTAGAATCGCCTCGTCCTCCGCTTTCAGAAAGTATATAATGCCAGGGGCCAGGGTCCGCTAGAAAAGTGCCGGGTGAAGGGTGGGTGAGACTTTTAAATGGAAGTGCTCAAGTACAGGCTTTTTTACCATTGTAAAAAGACGTCTACTTGAGCACTCCCATTATAAAAGTCTCACCCACCCTTCACCCGGCACTTTTTCTAACGGACCCCAGGCAATGTATATATTTTCTGAAAGCGGAGGACAAGGCGCTTCTAATGGTGACCATCTCGGCATACAAGATGTTCATCTACAGAAGTTATGAATTTTTTCATGTTAAAAACTTGAAAATCTCCAGCAATCACTAGGACACCCTTCACCCAGGCACTTTTTTCATCGGACCCCAGGCAAGTATATATTTTCTAAAAGCGGAGGATGAGTCGGTTCCAAAGGTCACCATCACGGCGTATAAGATGTGCATCTACAGAAGTTACGGATTTTTCTAACCTAAAAACTCGTAAATATCCAGAAATCACTACCCACACTCTTCACCAGACACTTTTCAATAGACTCCAGGCAAGCTATATATTCGAAAGCGGAAGACGAGATAGTTGTAAAAACCTTTTCATTGCTGACCTTGCTGTTCATCTACAGAACTTACGAATTTCTTCTAAAAATTCGTAAATGCTTAAAAATTGTACCTCTTTCCCGAAACAGATGTTCTTGCATACACATCTTCTATGGTATTTTTAAAAACATATAGGGTTGTTCCAATTCTATCAGTTCTCACATTTTGGTAAAAAGACAACCAATGATGGCAGAGAATTTAATATGATAAACTTTTATCTGGAAAATAAGAAAACACCATCACCTTCTCCTCCCCCCCCCCCCCCGTCGGCATTTTATGATTTCTCGATCAACTGAGACACAGTTCACCCTGGATGGACTGCGACCACTGTGACCCCCTTCACCCTGGAGGAGTCATTCTCACCTTATCGTACCTGCGGTCGACATTTTAACGAAGTCCAATCCTTGACACATTATGTGTGTCAAGCGGTCCCACATGGTAGTGATTGCTTGACACACATGGTGTGTCAAGCGGTCGTCAATGTGTTAATATCGACAGGCCCACATTGTGGGCTGACTGTGAGTTTGCTGCTTAAAGTTCGTAATTATTTATTATTATATATTTAATTAATTATTATTATTTATTATTTATTTTTTGTTTATTTATTTATTTATATGTTACGCACAAGGCGTGCCAAAACCGGAACAGACCAAGAAATAACTTCAAAACACTAAAAGAAAGGAGGAAAAACAAGACAAAAATCATCAAGCAGCTTAAGTCCAGCTCCCCTAGGAGTAAAAAAGAACGTATTAAGCTTGTTTATAGCATTCACGAATTCATCTCATTGGTTTAAAGGCCCATCTTCCTCATGCCCCGTGCTTGCACCCAAATTGCTCTCTGATTATTCAAATAAACATTTGTATGTGGTGGAAGCGGGTGTGTAGGTGTATAGGCAAAAAACCCGCCCAACCCATTTCTGGGGAGAGAACAGAACTCCGCGACAAAATTTTGCATAATGTCAAAAGTTAGTAGGGCTCAACGAGCTGTTTCACTAACATCAAAAGGGGTGAACCAAACCTAAGTCGACTTGTGGACTGCGTGTAAGTATGTTAAAAGCACCAAACATCGGACAGCTGAAACACAAAACAACTTAAAATCTTCTTACAAACTACGGTCAGTGCAACCGTAATGATTGGAAACCGAGATGATGTGATGAAGGGTTTCTGTTGACATGGAGCAGCGACGATGTGACTATAGCTGGGTATTTTGGTTATTCGAGCGGGTTGACAGTGTCGAGTAACGGCATGAGAAAAGGAAGGGTCGCGTTTGCGCCAGCACGATCAGTGAAGTTACGTCCAGCTTGCGAATAGATTCACTCGGTTAGGACGTAAAGAATACAGGCCAGAAAGTAGAGAGTAAAGTATCAGCTGCTACCCAGACCCATATCCTTGCGGAAGTGGAATAAGTTAGTGTAGAGAATTGACATGAATAAACAGAACAATGCAGAACTACTGCTCGGAGCCTGAAATAAACATAACCCCACAGGGTGTGTGGGAATGAGGAGCATCAAACTCCACCTTCCCACACACCCAAATGACAGGGGTGTGCGGGAAGGAAGGGTATTAGCTCATTCTTCCCGCGCACCGAGAGGTATGGGTTGGAGGGAGAGGAAGCATTGGGTTTCCTTAACCCCCACTACCCGGCAACAACAGGATGATAAACGAGTATAAAGTGGTTGAAGAGAGAGCGTTATTCAATTATTCTTGAACACTGTAAGGCCCCGGACAGACTTCACGCGATTTGATCGTCGCGTCTCAATCGCCGACATTTCCATTCATTTTCATTTCACATTCAAAAATTTCGGGCTGGAAAACTATCACAACCGAAATGCAAGTTGATCGGCATGGAATGATGCTGTAACAGTTGTCTCGTCGCGATACAGTCGCGACGATCAAATCGCGTGAAGTCT